GAATAAACGTCAGAATAATGACTATATGTCCATCATGAATTCTACCTTTTCCAGTTCTTGAAAACCTACTGTACATCACACGATGCACTCGAAAAAAAACCCGGGTATATTTTTGTTTTCCACCGCAGACTTCCATTAAATAATCCTGAATACAGATCAGTGTTGTACATTTGTACATGAAGTGGGGTCGACATAAATACGGGTATGAGTATACAAGGTATTTGTTCATACTCGAATTCGAGTAGGTTTCCATACGAGCATGTACCTTCCATGACAACGAGTACTTTGCTGGTATACACCAGCGGTGCAGCAACGCGGGGGGCGGGGGGGCGTGGGAGGGGGGACACGCACGATCCCAATTAGAAAAATCGTCCAGCCCCCACCCACCCCCGCCCTTTGAATTTAAAGAGGCCGGGTGTCCGGTGAAAAAAACAACCTGTCTACCTTTGGGCACGAATGAAACTGGGCGCCCCTTCACTGTAACATCCAGCCCCACCCCCCACTCGCCCCACCCCCTAAGATGACAACCCTGGCTATGCTGCTGGGGTACACTTGTCCTCGGGTGTGTTTTAGTGTCAAACTTGGTGTTAGACAAACGCAAAAGCCTGACAAAAAGTAGAAAATGGGAGGGGGGGTGTGCTTCGCTCGTATAAGTCGCCCTCAAACGGGGCACGGGGAGCAGCTATTATATCTTTGCTGTGAAGGAAGCATAGCTTACTCCCTCATGCACGTTCAGTCTTTCGCTCGTACCCACCACCCTGCAAACAGGGCGCTGAGAAGGGTGATGAGCTTAACAGAATCTTGTGAAGGAAGTGGGAATGGCATCCTGGGTAATTTATCATGACCTATGATAAACATTACCTATGATCGCTGTTCAAGAGCGCAGTTAGCCAATGCGCGTAAATGCTATCCGAAAACTTTCTCATAGAAATGCACATATTCCATACCGGATGTAATCTTTTTAATTGCGGACCATTGTGGACAAATTTTGAGCGTCGCAAAATGCAATCATTGACCCGGGGTACGAGCAAAGTACATTCTGTGATGCGCAGGCGGAAGGGTTGACCTGTTTTAATTTTCAAACAAATTCGATCCAATGAGGGCTCGAAGAATTGACGTCATGCATCCAGAAGATAGCAGCCCTTCCCATGAAGCGCACTGTTTGAGGGTATACTTCAGTTCGAGTACTACAACATGTCTAACAGATTTTTAAAAAAAATCATTTCTAGTGATTCATAATTCGTTTCAGGAGTGGTAGTTACTATTCGGGTTCGCCATACCCGTTTCTGACTAAACAGGTTCCGAGAAAGTTTGGATATGATGCATCCTTTCTACTTATAGTATTGTAATCAGGAAAAGAAAAACAGAAAATTATTGTCAAATAGAAAAAGATTCTAATCCTTAGGTGTGATGAATTTAAAAGAAACATGAACTGACGTTCAAAACGCCGTGTTAATACCAATTTCTTTTGAAAGCCTTTTCCATTTTTTTGAAGGATAAGTTCAAATATATATATATATTTTAGAATATTTTAGACTGTGGGTAATAAAGGCCCAATCGCAGCAAATTAAAAAAGTCCCAGATCTACTCACTTGTAATACGATATGACTACATACATGTTTTTCCCTATGACTAAACCCGACACTGTCTTGTCATTTCCTGGTCATCATATGACCGTATAATAATAACCGAAGGAAGAGGCGTGTTGCTATTTTAAAAGAACGAAACAAGCTTTCACTTCGTGTTTTCGTTATTTATTTAACAAAGTTTGTTTATGCAGACCCATCAAAATCACTTTCACGTGCCGATGAATAACAAAAGCTTGACACGTAATGGTATCGAGAATGATTCATACATTTACAGTGAAAGCAGTTGTATTGTTTTTGAAACTCTGTTTCCTCGTTTTATTTTAAAACCGCCCAAGAACAATTATCATTCAAAAGCTTTGTAAACTATTGTATGAAGAAAACAGGTTTGTTATAAACAGTAAAGAGTCTCTCAAAGGAATGAAAGTTTAACAAACTGTCAAAATGAGCAGCTCTGTAACAGCGACAGAAACGAAGAACTATTCACAATTTTAACGGATTATTTTCAGGCCTTTTGTCAGGAGTTTGTCCGGGGATGGCGGGGTTAAAGGACCTACCCAGAGTTCGATGTGATTCCACTGTTCGATTTTTCATTCTAACTGTCAACCTAAAATTGTTTAATATTGCTTTACAGCCCCATAGGTTAAATGTATGCTATATGCCTTTATGTGCACCAGCCTACATATTTCTGGCAGTTGTACTTGTAACATTGATATTATATTTTAGTTTAAAATTGTGCCGATTTTTACTTCAAAGGTCCACTTAAAAAAAGATTAATAAATAAAAAACACCCCACACTAGGCTGGCTACAAAGGCTTGGTTTTGAATCCACGTCGGATTTTATTAATGACATATGACGATGTTGAAATTCGATGTGTCAAACTTACAAATCATGGATCAGATATTACTTTGACCCTTCGCTTCCTTTTCATTGTTCAACTCAAAGCGCAACAGGAGACCTGTGAACTAAAATGGCGCCCCACGACAATGAACTCGCGAGAGGGCGCTTGTACACAACTGGCACGCGCAGGGCCTAGGAACCACAATACTCCCTGCAGGCTTTCACGTTGTTATATCATTTTCTTTTGAATCAGCGATTAAAATTTGTCACTTTGGCATGCTGGAGAGAGGAGGATCCTATATCGGGCGGGGGGGGGGGGGGGGTTCTCCCCCGGTTCGCTGCAAAAATAGAAAAATCATGCAGGAACCATAATTATGCCTACTAAACACCCCCGACAGCTCCTCCCCTTGAGCCAACTTGGATCTGCCCTTAAGATTGAAACACCTCCCAGCAAGACTACAAACCATTTTTTTTGGGGGGGGGGGCTGGATGTTACAGTAGAGGGGCTCCCCAATATCATCCATGGCGGAAGGTATATAGAGACCTTTTTTTACCGGAACACAACCTCCATAAAATAAAAAGGGGGTGGGGGGGGGGGTCCCTGGACACCATCTTCCCACGGGGCGCTGTTCAAAATCGACATCATGGTCAATAGATGGCACTATTCGCTTTCCACAGGGTTTTCGTGAAAAATAAACAACAATCGTGAAAAAAGACACTCTATTATGTTACACGCTAATCGGGGTAAGTTATAGCACTGTGTTTTTCTCCAGTTGAATAATTATTTTCAAGTTGGGGAGGAGGGGGGGGGGGCAACTGGGAGGGGGAGGATTGTTGCCCCTCACTCCCGGTAGATACGCCACTGGCCAAAAATAGTTCAAAACCAGCTCGGTTCTGCTTAGTTAGTCTGTTTAAAACTGCATCGCACAACGTTGATCTTTGCTGTGAAGTCTGCTATACCGGAATTCAGACTGTTTTCATACTTAAATAATACCGAAGAACAGGTGAAACAATAAGGCCGTTCGGCAAGCACGATGTCATAATTACTACATCATTACAACATTCGTCATTGACTTTTACGATGTTATTATCCCACAACTGCTCAAAACTCAAGAAATCTTTATCAGTCATAATGCACTCTTTCTCGGCATCAAAAGGGAACAAAAGTTGGGACGTCTGTCTGCAGCGGCATGCCACAGAACGGCGTCGGGGACTAAATTCACACAGATTGGATTGTTCTCCTGAAATATCCATTAAAACTAAGATATGCAATAATGAATACGGTCATTCGGACGGAAACCGTAATTAGTTGGACTAAAAATGTGCTGGTTAGCACCTGTGTAAGCATACCGTCAGACATGCTCTGCTTTTACAAAGACTAAAATCAAAATAGGAAATCATACTAAAGGCAGACGGCTGTTTTATGTTTTATCAATAAGGGAAAAGTAGAGCTACCGTGTGACTCAGATCCTTCTTCGAGGGACACAAATAAATGTTCTTTCGCAAATAACTGACTTTTGGGGGACACTCTCCCTGCACTGTAAGTTTGACACCTACGGTTCGTGTGGTGCTGTGGTCCAGTGGTTACGGTGTTCGACTTGTGTGCCATGGTACATGGGTTCGAATCCTGACGGGGAACATGTTGCTTGTGCGCTTGGGCAAGGCACTTTACAACGATTGCCTCTCTCCACCCAGGTGTAGTAAATAGGTACCTGGTAGGAAGAAATGCCTTCAGTGCTTGAGCGCCGTAATGGCAGCCGTGCTAAAGCCAGGGTAATAATAAGAGCACCAGGGATAGGAGCGTCACTTCGTGACGGACATGAGCGCTATTCAAGACGCCATTATTAAGTTCATGCACCTCTTGCAGTGATTAATGAGAAACAGAGGAAGTCAACTGGTTTTTGTCCTACCTCGTGATAGAAACTTTTTTCTTTTTTTTAATAATAACTTTTTCGGTTCAAAGTCATAAGCCTCTGTCCTTAATCTAACGTGTGTTTAACGTATTATCCCTTACATATTTTTTTAAACATAATTATATAGAAAGTTATTTTTTCAGCGCAGACAAGATCACTGACTTCAACATTGTTTGTGGTATGTGCTTTTCGCGAAGATCGATACATACGTACAACACGGCGTATTTAGTCTGCAACCATTTATGGCAGGCCGTTTAAGTTCAATGCTCCCATCAGGGCGGCAAAGGGATTTCAAAGAGGCTGTGATTGGTTATAAAATTATAAACGATTATCACAGAAGTTTCACAAAAATAATGTTTGAAATACGATATCGATAATGAACAACCTGCTGGCTGTATGCGCGCCTCTTGCCGGCAGCGCGTATACGCTCTCCGCGCAATACGCGCGCGCGTCCCCAATCCAGCTCCGCGTCCATGCGCGTAATTCAAACTGTATGTGACGTGACGCTCACATCACTGTGTTTCTGCACTGTTCTGTTGTCGAGTGTAAAAGTTCGAAACAAATCGTTTCGCAACCACTGGAAACAGAACCCGGCTTAGTGGGTGCCTCATTTTTTGTCTTGAAGAGGAAGCTGCGGGGGTGAAGTTCCATTGTCTGAAGATGTTGCCCTGTGATGTGCTTTCAGGTAAGATCAATAAAAACTCTGCAAGTTATACTAGTGCCGAAGGTTTCAGAAAGTTTGCCTAGGCCTAGATCTACCTCAATGCATCCCATACGGAGCCTTACTCCTTGAAATCATCACAGTGAAGTCTAACATCGTATTTTCAAACGATTGTGTAGTTACGGGCCATGTTCCTATTTCTATAGCCTAAGAATTTTAAGAGAACAACATTTTACGTAGGCCTAGGCTAGGCCTAGGTCTTCGGCCCAGGTTGGACGATGTCTTCATTGCATTACGACTGTACACAACGGAGTCCAACCACGGCTACCTAGGCCTTGTACTTTCAACTACAGTTAGCGACAGATAAATAGTAGGGAAACACTAACAGTATAGCCTAACACTAGGCCTAACACTAACAGGAGTATTGTGGACAGAGGGCAAGGTTTTGGTTTATTATAGGGAAACGTTTGGGTAAAACAGTGATGATGACGACAAAATCGAACACGAAAATAAAATAAAAATGAAACGCCTATGTTTCTTAGTCAGTGTTAGTCTTACACACGGCATTTGCGTTCGATTAAAGTCTTGAACTTCATAGGCATAGGGCCTATTGATCTCTAACCAAGTAACACCTAACCCATTTTTGTATTTTCTCTTCAACAGTTTTCCTTTTGGCAGCTCTGACCCCTTTCGGTGAGTTTTTCCAATAAACACTTGGCTCTCGGTCGATTTTATATAGAAATGAAACCGAAATGAACAAACTTTCATGACTTTAGACCTATAGGCCTAGCTCTGTCAAGGAAGGGTGATAAGGGGGCCTAAATTGCGGATCATCTCGGTTTTAGATGAGACAATAACCACAATTTGTCACTACAACTATAAAGTCCCCCTACGAGTTATTTTATTTTCGCCACAAGGAAAACCATATGTATTTACTTGTCTATGCTCTGCCTGTATGATTTGCTTGATTAGACCATTCAATTTCTATTTTGAAGATCGTCGTATAGGGCCTACTGACTCTGATTTTTTTGTATGTTGTTTTGGCTCGGGAACTTTTGTGAAGTAAGCGTCCGTCTGTATTTAAATTCCCGCCAGACATTGAATATAAATGCATCTTCTGAAGGCCATTTTCAACTCTTCGATAATGGGCAAGTTTCAACTTTGTTCAGAAGACGCTTTGAAGAGAAAATAACCCTGCTAATACTTTCTTTTGTTTTCGTCCCTTATAGCTTCTGCGTCGACGGGTGGTACGTATCTTCTTATTTTGTCTTTCGTCTGTCAAAATTTATTTTGCGTGGGGAAAAATATTCACCTCTCTTGTTTTCAATTGAATGACTGAAGCTTTTGCTAAAACAAAAACAAATTTTTTTTTTACACACCTGCCCTAATTTAACAGGGGTATATTTTCGAAAGAATTTGAAGTTTTGCATGGGGAAGATAAAGTTTACGGTTGCATGAAATATTTTGCAATGTCTCTCATGCACCTTGATATATATATTGTTATTTTTTTAAGATAAATATATTTACATATTTTTATTTGGCAACCGACTTTGCCGAACATTGGTTTCTGCGGCATGAAATTTTGGTACCATCATCGCGGTTCCATAACAGAGATCTGGAAGACGGAAATCGAATCCAAATATAGAGAAACCTTTAAAAAAAACTCACAAAAAAATATAAAATCATGAACAGTTTTCTTTTTGAATTTGACTGTTATTTTCCTTCTCCTTTCCCCCACAGCTCCTCAAACAAATGGTAAGTATTTTTTTCTCAATTGTATTATATTTCTGCTTCTAAATCTTTCTAATTGAGATCAGACTTCCATTAATATTTCCAGCGAAATTTGTATGCGGCCATTGAATTTCGAATACAGCTTTTAACCTGTTCCAACAAAGCAGTAGGTGGATATACAAGTGCTGGGATTTTGACATGAGAAAAATCAACGATCACTCAACAATTGTTTCACTTTTACTCGGTGAGACCGGAAGATTTATTCAGAACCTACAAAGAGTACCAAAATCGTAAAACCCATTATCTTGAATTTCCAATGTAAAAAGTAGAATACAAACGAAATTGATAATACAATTTGTTTCAACACCTTTTTGCCTTTCAGCCCCAGTTGTGGTCGTCGAGGAAGAGGTGATCATCGGTGTGGGTAACGTGGACGTCCGCTGCTACACCTGCGACAACGTGTATGATAATGACGAGTGTAACGGTGTGCATGTGAGTAGAATTATGTCCGTTTTGCACTGCCAGAGCCGCACTATTACTATGTGTGTGACACTTTCCGGACATTGCAAGAGCGCCGGCGGGAGGGGGGGGGGGCAGATTGCTAGACACCATTAGAAACTAGTTGGTGCTGTTGACAGAAAAATCTATGCACAATCTGGGCAGCATGTACAAAATGAACGTAGGCCCTATGCGCGGAGATTTATAGCAATAACGATTTGCACCATATTTTATACAAGTTTGATTTCAGATTGGCTGTGATCCTATTTCTTTCCTGTTTCAATGTTCTTTATTCCCCCAAATATAACCCAAATTCTCATTGGCGTCGCCAGGATTTTTTTCTAGGGGGGGGGGGGCAAAGTATATCCCCACCCCCCAAAATGCCTATTTTTGGAGGGTGGGCAGAGATATTGCCCCCCCCCCACCACCACCACCCATTAAATTAGCAACAATATGATTTCGCCCTCTTTTTCTTTGTTTTTTTCCTTTTCTTCTGCAAGCTCCCCCCCCCCCCCTCGCGACGCCTATGCAAATTCTCACTATAACGCAAAATGTCATTCTTTCTAAAAAATATATAGGCTATCAGGCCTACGGGAATTGGACGCTAATGGTCCAGGGAAATTTAAGGTCTAAAGACGTCAGGACTCGGGGCACATTTCGTTTATCGGGTTCTCAATCTTTCTCGGATGTTTGTTTGTAATTTCAGCTGGGAGGGAACGGCACACTAACCCAGTGCACCCAGGAGCGCTCCAACTGTTTCTCCATCCTCAAGATGAATTCGGCCGGTGACGGCTACACAACTCAGAAGGGCTGCATGGATTGGGTAAGTTCATCGTCCACACTAGATGTTACGCCCCAACTTGAGCAATGACAAAACTACTCCCAACTATAGTTGGGGCAGTCTCAATGTAGTTTGGACGATCCTACAACAATTGATGCAGTTGGGACGATACTATGGGCTTCGTCATTAATCTCCATTAGAAAGACTATCCTTTTTACGGATAGATCGGAAGTGTGCAGTGAAGGTATGCTGCGCGTTGCATCCTGGGACAGTTTGAGCGGCGAATGGACGTTTGTACAGCTCAAAATGACCCACAATGCATCACAACAGAAATATTCAGTGGCGCCTATCGGTAAAAAGGTCTATGGCTTAACAGCAGTCTTTCTGCTGACAGTTCTACATGTCCCTTTTCCAATTGCCCTCAGGTCGCCCTTACGACGACACAAAACAGTCGGCGACTGACTGTTCAGGATCAAGTAGACCCTGAGCTATGACCGTAGGCCAAACTATCTGAGTGCGATCTGATCAGAGTGCAAACTGCGACGATATTAAGGCGATAGTCATCAGTCGGCGCTCAAAGTAGAAACATTTGTCATATGTGGTATCTTTGCGTCTTCAATAAAAAAACCCATCATTTATGCCGTCGCTCGATAAAAAGTTGGATTTACGGATATATTCTGCGAACTAGTACATTGTACCGTTTTGTTTGTCTTTCCGTCCATACATTTCAATGGCAACAGGACGAGTGCTACGACAGGTTCTACGAGATGATGGCAGACCCCATCGTAGGTGGCGAGTGCATGCGCATCACCGTTATGGACCACGACAACGTCGCGCCCGACGCGGAGTGCTTCTTTTGCTGCTTCTCAGTCGAAGGCGGGTCCCAAGACGCCTGCAACCACGCCATGGGAGTCCAGTACCTTGCCCTTCCCGAGACCAACAACTGGGATCCGTCCGTGGACAAGTGGGAGGGCCACGAGCCGGTGGAGAACACGGTGGCTCCAGACGTCACCGAGGGCGCAGAGGCAGTTGCCCGTCCTCTGGCCACAGTCATCGGTCTGAACGTACTCTTGTTATACGTTCTTCTCGCTTAGCACAACTTTATCCATTTAATCAGCTGCAGAGACATAACCCATCCGGCAGCGGGAGATAGCTTCATTTGAAATATTCATTACTCTAAATAAGTAGGACTGACAATGAAATGGAATGGTCGAAATAATGTGTCCGAATGTGGATCAACCTTATGATTTTACCGAATTCGATCAACAAAGTTGTCAAACCAGCCTTTTCCTGCACTCCTTCTTGACCGAAATTCAAGACTTTTCTAAAACAACAAATCGAATCTAGTTACACATCTACAATACCATTCTTTTCAAATGAATATATTCACTAATTTATTGAAAGAGTTTTACCTTACGTTTAACAAAAAATTGTGCAGTTTTACAATATTATCAATATGCTGTAAAAATGTAAATATCGGTTTGTACGTTTCAAAAAAAAAAAAAAAAAAAAAAATAAGCCATGTATGAATTCTGGAAAATCTATTAACATAATAAACAAATAACTTCGAAAAGAAAAGAAAAAGAAAACCAATACAGCAAACAAAGAGGTTTATTTACATCTACATGGAAACGTATTGCATCATCGAGTTTAAGGTATTTAATATTTCATGCAATTTTTTTTTTGGAAAAAAAGCATGTAAGAAACGGCCTTCCAAAGAAATCCCGTGAAGACGTGAAAAAATCAACACTATAATATACATGCGCTATTATCCATTATAACTGGCCTCTTATGACGCTTTTGAAATAAAAAAGCCGATGTTCAAGACGGTCCAATTTCGATAACTGGAAACAGCCTGGAAATCCCTTTTTGAGTGTTTGTAATTTTGTCCTATTTGTAATTGCATAGTGCCTGCTTGTTATAATATGCTCTTCGGTAAATTCGTTTTCAGGTCGTTGTTTGTCCATTATAGTTGGCCCTATATACTTGCAAAGAGTACACAATGAACTGAATACACTCTTAAATAGAAAGAAGGCTTTAATAATTAATAGCCTGTTGGTATACAGTGTAAATGAAGCTTTCATGCATAAACGTTTTTAATTGAGGTTCATGTCGTGGACAAAACTTAATAACTCATCGCTAGAAAATTAGCAATTTATATCACGCATTTATGTGTCAGGGTGCATGTTATATATACAACGCCCCAATGGCCTATAAAATATCAACTCTCTCATCCCATCTTCGCCTTATTCAGTGAGGATGTTGAACCTCAGGCCTCGCGAGGCTGGGAAAGAGTGAAGTAGTTCGTACTCATTTAGAGGCAAGTCTATTTCTGGGCAATTTCAGGAAGATGTTATTAAGGTAGGCTACTAAGCACAAAGAATTCGATTTTCAAGTTCTGCTTTGCAAGATAGGTTACCATAAAAATGTTTCATGTTATTTATAATATTGCCTTTGGCTGGTTCTTTGCAGCCTCATGCAATTACTGGTCCTTAGTTCTTACTGACGACCAGAGCCAGCAGCAGCCCGGCACTTCAATTTGACGCAGCGGCGCAGCACGCTCCCCGTCGGCTTGCCAATGACCTTTGCCCTCCGTTTCCCGGTCTTCTGTTGCTTCAAATGGCTGCAGATCCGGGCGGCGTCTGCGCAGGTCTTGTCGCTCAGGTCCAGTTGGTACTCGATGTCCCGGATGTCCAACGGCTGCCCTACGTCCAGTGATGCCTGGGACTGGTTCGGGTCGAGGTACGGATTGACTAGGCCTTGTCTCGGTGACTTGCCGCGGCCCTTGTGGTACAGCTCTACCTGCCAGAGAGCGGACCGGCTGACCCGGTTGCTTTCGGGGGCCACGTCGGCGTGCAGGTCTAGGGTGACGTGGTTGAGGGTGCCGGCGGTGACGGCGCCCGATGTCACAGTCAAGTCGATGTTAGTGATGACAATCACTGTATGGGAAACGTTGAAACATAGACTCTTTTAGAGGTAGATAGGGAGTGTATAATAAACACTTCCACACGGTTGAGTTGCTGGAATGGACCAATGAAATGCCGTGGTTGCTTGAACGGACCAATGAAATGCCGTGGTTGCTTGAACATAGTAAAACGAAAGAGCATGTGTAAACTTGCACTGTATTGTGGGAAATTAACGTCAACGAATGGGGTTCACTTGTGCCTCTCCTGGAAATAGGCCTAGAGAACTCACAGACAAAAGTAAATAAATATGCTACGAGTTAATATTATACATACATGTATAGCATCATTTACTGTTTTTGCGAGATTTTTTTTCGTTCTAAGCAACAATTTTGCTCAAAATTTAAGACGGGTGCACAATGAGTAATTTATTGAAGTTTTAGCTCAGTAGCATTGAGAAAACAAAGAAAACGTATGCACACTTTTTGGGGGTTCTCGCAACTAGATTCCGTTGCTAACGCACGTAAAAAAACACCCTGTGCCACAGGACACACCTTCTTTAACCACTTTCAATGAACTTGTCTTCTGAATGATACCATTTTTTGCCAGAACTATCTGACAGGATAAAAGACACCAATCCCACTTTCAGTTTGAGCAAGGATGTTCTCGTTAAATCAGTAGGAATGTTTCCGGCTGATTGCAGATGTTCTTTCGTATCGTGCCCTTTCTAAAAAGCAAGTGTCAATTTTATGAAACCATCTCTATAGCCCCAACTCCCCCTTCCGGCCGTTTTCGCCCCGGCTGACATATCCATTCCATTTTCGCATAAAGCTATAGCCACTACATGCCATGCAATGATGTGCTTTCGAAGCTGCCTCCTATTATCCTTACTCGATCAAAACAAATTCTAAAACTCGATTGAAAGAAAATAATGTACCTTGTTTGTGATTCTTTTTGAGCTTCTTTGGTCTCTTCCGCGGTGATGAAACTTCTTGTCTTGCTGAAACCTGAACCGGCTGTTGTTGTTGTTGTTGTTGTTGTTGTTCGATATTCTGCGACGGTACGGCCGCCATGCCCCCCTCGACATCAGTTACGGCATTGCCATCGGCGGCCAGTCCGATGTCGCCGCGCCCTGTATCGGTAGCCAGCGGGCAGGGGCATTCCCCTCGGCAGGCCAGGTACAGTGAATGCTCCCTGCAGGCCGCGGCGCAAAGGGCGCACTCGTTGCCGTACGTCGTGCCGTCACTGCCGCAGACTGGACTCAGCATGCGCGTGCAGCCAATCCGGCACCTGAGCCTGGCGGCGGACGAGACCTGACCTTTCGCCTTCCCTGGGGAAGACAATGAGAAAAAATGAAGTCAATTCATTCAGAGATCCATGGTCAAAGATACACCTCACAGTATCGATTCGGTCCTAATCGTCAAGCATGGACACCAGCCGAATAATAATGCAACCTGACTTACGTTGAAACTATCTGTTTACAGGGTGAGTAAAAAAAATCCCCGAAACCCACATGCCGGGACCATTTTTCAGTGAAGTTCTGCTTGTAGCACTTTCAAAATATAGGATATGAAAGCCCAATTCATAAGCTTTCTTTTAGTACAAAAATCATTCAAATCACTCATGTACTTTTCAAGTTACAGAATTTTAAACACAGCCTCTGTTTTAAAGTTCTGTCCACAGATCACAAGAAGGTAAGTGTTCTCTCAGCAAAACGACAACAAATCACAAACATGGATGTGTGTGAAGTGTTTTCGTTTTGCTGAAAGAACGCACACTTTTGTGTGATCCGTGGACAGAACTTTAAAACGGTGGTTGTGTTTAAAATTCCGTAACTTGAAAAGTACTTAAGTGATTTGAATGATTCGTGTACTAAAAGAAAGCTTATGAATTGGGCTTTCATGTCCTAGATTTTAAAAGTGCTAGAGCTTCACTAAAACAATAGTCCCAACATTTGGGTTTCGCTCAAGACTAACCCAAATTTTGAGTGACACACCTGTTTGTAGTTCCGCTACTACATTATCAAAAAAAAAGTTTTCTTCTAAGACAACCAGAAGAAGGAGTGGGGAAAAAAAACCTACCCTTGCCTAACCCTCATTTTATTTATCACTTGATTCCCATTTATCTTGAATCTCATACCTGCACGTCGCCTGGTGAGCGCGCCCACTGCTGGATCTGACGCGCACGTGGCGTAGTAGTTATTGTTTGCCGATGACGTCACGCCCAGTGCCGGCAGCAAGAACAGAATGGCTGTCACTAATCTCATCGTGGTATATAAATTCACTGAAAAGAGGAAAGGATTGATTCATTAATTTCACCATTTCTCGAACTCCGACCATCGCGTCTGAAACTCCACACTTTGAATACGTGACAACGAATGTGATTTTACTGTTCATAAGATAAATTTGCGTCGGTATTAGGTTTTGCCCTTCACCGACGTATACTCAGTGTGTTACCTCACGAGTGAAAGTTTGAAAAATCACTCGGGTAGTCGGGTGGGACTCGAACCCAGGACCTCCTGCTTTCTAATGCAGGCGTCTTGCCACTCGACCACCGAGCTTGCGGGGTCGGTTGGCTAGTTCGAATCTGATGTACATGTAGCAGCGGGTATACCGCAATTAAACTATTCACAAGGTGAATTTGTGTCGGGGTGATGTAAATCAAAATGAATGTGATTTTTCTATGACAAACCTTATCTTTCAAGCAGGCTGTTTCAACCCAACCTTACAAGGAGGACCCTTGTGATGGATTCAGTGTCTTGTATGTTTTCATGTATTGTCTAACCAAACGGGACATAGCTCTGAGGTTTTGACCATTCTACCTAAATGGACAGACCACAGTTACCTACAATCCCGGCCCAAATGGTTGGGACACTTGGAAATAACCTAAGCCTCCAACGGTCACCAACTACCCCGCTCCCGATCCCCCGGTCAATGTTGTTGTCTTCAGCGGATGGTGCACACACCGGCGACACCGCGCATTGAGAGACAACATTGAGCGGGGACTGGGGGGGGGGGGGGTTGGGGGCCCAGCGAGATTTGGCCAGGATTGTAGCTCTTTTTTAGAGACCGCAAATTGAGGGGGGGGGGGGAGGAGAGGGGTGGCTGGAAATCATCTTACATAATGAATGAACCGGGGCACACCCCTTCAGCCCCTCTACAGCATTATCGTACTGAAGTTTTAGTTTATTCCCTTATTGACAATGGCATACCGTCTTGAAGGAACCGTCTGGGAATATATTTTCCAACTTGGTCGCATTAGCCCCCCCCCCCCCCAAAAAAAGTCTCCGGTTTCTGGTATGCGCGCGCGTCGCCGTAGCCATGCGCGTCGGCAAAATGAAAAAGGTTTTTTTTCAATGAAAGATGATGTCTCAAAACCGCCAAACTCACTGGTTTGACTGGAATTCTGCTGCTGCGCAATTTCAACGTGTTTTTAGATGGGGTTATGATCGAGAATAAGCTTTATGTGGCCTCTCTGGACTCCCATATATTTGCACTAAGTTTAGTCGGGCACCATTTGCAGTCATCAGCCGACATTTGAAGCAAAAAAGTCGGGTAAAAAAAAAAGCAAAAAAAAGCTCCATACCAGAAACCGGAGACTTTTTGGGGGGGGCCTTACTCATTAGGCCTGCATTTCCCAAACATCTAATGTCCGATAATCCAGATGTTATCGATCTGTTTGATAACTACACTGGTTCCAGGAACTACTCCAGCCAGCTGAAACCTAAAGGCCTCATGCATGTTTGCAGATCGGGAACCAGTCTCAGTGATATCGCAAGCGCTGTCCTCGTCCCCAGGGATATCGCTTATCTCTCTCAACATTGATTATTAACCCCTTGATCTTTAGCCCACATTGTGGTTCAAGGTGCGCTCTGCGGTTAAGGTTGCTGCTCGAGGTTGACTTCAGGACCGTGGGAACGGGGAGTCCACTGGATCGGAGTTTGTTTTGAAAGCTTAAAAGTGCATACAGAATGGAGGATGATTACAAACACAAGATTGTCTTCTGAATTTGATAATTGAGGTTCTTCGCTTACGAAAAATAGACATCCTAGGTTTGTGAAGAATTAAATTTTTGGGCTAAGTTATTTCTCCGTTGGACATAGAGGGGCCAGCCTATTGGGTGGTGCAAAAAGAAGGAGAAACACCTTTGACAGCAATTTTCACCTACTTGTTGCGCATATTTCAAGAATTCAAATAACCTGTATTAAAATATTGATCTTTAAACATATTGACGAAAAATGATCGCAATTGCATATTTTGTCTCTGGGATATGGTAGTTTTAAAACGTCGTGTCCCAAACCTGTTTGTCCACGGACGTATTTATTCTATCCGCTTGACTGAGCTCCGAACCTTGATTTGAAGACAGAAAACACTACACTAGACTAACCTGTGGAAAACAGTGATTTTGGTGACTTGTATTCAAATTAGCACAATAACACTATTCTTTCAATTTTTTTTAAAGATTTTTTTTCATCACTATGGTTGAAGAGCTATACTTCACTACATTATAAAAAAAAACAGTGTAAATAAATTAAGTAAGTAGCTTAAAATTCCTGTCAAAAGTGGGTTTCCTTCTTTCTTTTTTTGCACCACTCTGTAGCGTCCTCTTACCCAACTGACTGACTGTCACCTGTGAACCGGGCAGTGCTATCGTATGAGATTACCCCGAGCCACGGAATGTGCTAAACGTGTACTTCGATCCGGCCCATGCCTATACCGACAGCCCACTGTTTGTGTACACACGTACAGCTGTCCCTCTACCCACAAACACAATAATACGAACAAGCTACGAACGTATCATATAGTTTTATCATAAAATAGGGGCAGTATATACGTTTTGTCATATCGACTCCACTACAGCCGTCACTGCATTGAACCACATCATCAAAGTGTAACACTACTCTGACGCAAGTAGCATCTGGGAATCTTATCACGACCGTAATAACATTTAACACTGCTGCGGGATTTAGGCGCGCATACGGATTTTCGATTTGTAACAGCATGCAGGGGTGAGATAAACTAGGTCTCGATTTCTCACCCTGGATGGGTCATAATAAAGCAGCTGATTGATGGTGTACCAGTAACTGTAAATTGTCACGAATAAAACAAAACATTATACAAGATAATTATTCAACTGTAAAAATGAATCCCAAACAGACAAATCTGTCAAAATAATGGTCGAATCGTCATCCCTAGTATTTGGGGGATGGATTGGAATTATTATGGCATGAAATTCTGCATGAAAGCCCTTTGTTTGAAGTTTTGCCCCAAAACGAAACTGGACAGTGGACATTTGAAACTTATTCAGCATCCGCATCCGGTTGGGAAATACGTAATGTACTTTACAGATACGGAAGGTTCAATGAACGTATGTATAGTTGGCGTGATAACACTGCATGCAGCTTTTCTTGATCTCCATATATCCATATAGCCATACGAGTGGCTCATTTTTTACCCAAAATTGTAATCTTAATGAAGTAGGTTTTTTCCCAATTGTCTCAAACTTCTCTGTTCAGAAATATCTCGAGGTCACTCTTGCGCAATGATTCGCTCGGGCAATCCTGGACTGACCGTCACGCATTAAGAGCACTGTCACACACACGACACACACTACTTTCTGTCAATTTCGATTTGCATCGATGGGAAATTTAATGAAAATTGCGAGTTTTGGAGTTGCGAAGATTAAGGTTACAAGTCCAATGTAACATCTGGTCTCAACGGGATATGTTCACAACCGCGACAGAGAAAAGACATCTTGGTTTCTGAATTTCAAAGTTTAAAACAGTCTATTTTGCAATTTTTTTTTCATTTTTTTTTGTTTTAGAAATGATAAAAAGTTATAATTAATGTAAGAATATTGTTTTCTGTCATATAACCGTCATCTATTGGCCAAATCTTTATAGTGTATACTTTTGATTGGTTGATACGTAAGTTGTTAATTCTGTTATAATATGATTTGTGTTGAGTTCATACCTTCAACTTTATAACAAATTAACCTAAAACATTTGTCCACCTAGTTTAGACAGTTAAAGAAAGACTTGGGCAATAATATATGCAGTTAAAATTTGCCAATAGAATAGAAATAATGTCTGAAATATATTTTTTTTCTTAAAAATAGTGCCTTAACCAGATTTACGCTAAATTGTTACGTGCATTGACAACAACCATGGAGGAATAAGAACATGCAACAACCAATGGAGTTTTACGTGATAACTCTGACCACCGCACGTACGTGTAGTCCGCACGTGTACGCGTGATTGTGAAGGTTCGAGAATAAACGCACGAACACAATTTGACACCCGGACACGGATATACGTAGGCTTTGAACGGGAGTAGCTAGTACGTACCCTTCAGGAAAATGAAACCAAAAGGTGCTCGAAGTCTGACCTTTACTGTAATTGTCGGGTCATGCATGTGCCCCGGCCTCCCAGGTGGCGGGCATGGGGGGGGGGTGTATAAAAGTCAAAACCCGGAACCCCATCTTCAGCCGCAGACAAATACTAAAATCATGCAGAAAAGCCAGCCTGCTAAACCCCATACCTAGCAGCTAACCCCCTTCTGGATTCAAACCCAGTGGACCCACCATTGCCCCCTCTAAGTAATGCTGTATAATTGCTGTGCCTTGTTGGAGACTCCATTTGCTTAGCGATATGAGACGCTGCAGTACAAAGCCCAATGATGGCTAGCGAACACCAAGACTCGAAATCCTTGAAACTCAACAGGAATGCATGATGTGATTCAGATTATTATCAACTTAATCACAGATGGAAACTCAAAGGGATGGCTTACCGTCCTGCTGTCAGTTGTCGCAGGTTCCCACAGAAACACAATTGCTAGGCAGCAGTGCTGAAATATACTCGAACTTTGAAGAATCAACTGAAAACTCCGAAGTCGTCTTCAGTTGCTCACATGACGTTGCCAGTCTGAGTTCTGGGAAGACCTGCCGTGTTGACCTTGTGGAAAAAAGTCCGTGACGCCACCATGTGTGACGCAGAAACAACCCCTGCGTAGTATCCTGAACCAAGCTCCCGAGGAAATATTGTTTACAATTCCACCTCCGTGTGGAATTTAACACTTGGACGGAACTTCGCGTACGTTGGCCAAGATCTACTTGTTTTAAGGTGTATGTAAATATCAGTGTGGCCGTTGACAGACATTCTGAAACGAACGTGACTCGAAAACACTGATAGCGAGACTTTGGCTCAATGTCACGGCTCGATCTGCTTATATCGTTAGCGAAGGAACTTGGCTTGTGCGCATGCGTTAACTTCGTGCGAGATAACGTTAATTGCTAGCCTTACATTGCCCCAAATGAAATTTTCCCCTTTTTTCTATAAAGACCCTTCATGCATTAGCCAAGTAAAACAATTTCGTGCCTCTCAATAAACCGATTTCAGACAAGATAAGTTTGCGGTAGCACCATGTGAATAAATCTCTGTTGTGAGTATGTGTGGTTCTGAAAAGAACCGAAGGGACTCAACGTTTCGAACAGTATATGCTCTGCCCGTCGTCAGGAGCTAGAACGATTTCATCTTTTGAAAGGTTGATAAAAGGTCATGGCTATATTAAAGCAGACAGTTCCCCCCAAATAAACATGACCCCGTAGCTACGAAGATCGCCGCGCTCCCCATGTCCTAACATACGTTGCAACCTGACCCCATAACCCCGCCCATCAATGCCTGCCCTGCCCCTCCACTTGTATCATATGAAATTTGAACTCCTATAAAAATCTGGTATCTTGTACCTTTGGATTCACCCGCACACGTGACCTGTCACGTACTGTCTGAATTATTATGTTCACTGAAGCATGCGCAATACAACCACAGATCCGCATTTCATAGACTCCACATTTCATACTACACCGTTTCTGTGTTGTAAGTACGACTTTAAAGGTCCAGACTTCTTTTGCTGTTCAACCTGGGTGGTAGATGAAACACACCCCTCGCACTACGGCGAGGTATGCGCAAGGTCAAGGGTTAAAGGGAATATACAACATTTGCAAACATCGAGAAAAAAAACTACCAAGTTTTTGCGAAATACCTTAATAGGATGTTGGTAAATGACAGCCTGAAGCATCCTGTAAAATTATGGCACCTGGTATACTGTCATTTTCAAGAAAAGTGGTATTTTTGTATCAATTTCCAACGCTGATCGGCCGATCAGCGTTGGAAACAACTGGCTTTTTTTCAAATACTGGCCCCAATCGACCATTGCACTTGTTTGCAATCGATTACAAACCTATGAACGGGTACGAGCCAGCTAGACTGGTTCCCTGACCTTACAATTCCCCAATGTATGTAAACTGCTCTGTTTCTTCTTATATGGAGTCAGGGAACCAGACTACAGGAAAATGATCGTTTTTCTTGGTTTTTATAGCATTTTCGAACCCAAAACCTCCAAAAAGTCAGTGCAACTATATTTGCTTTATATTTCCACCCCCCCAATTCCATCCATTTCTGAAAATTACAGCAAAAGCAAATGATGTATATTCCCTTTAATGTTGACACACGGGGTAACTTAATTCACCTTGTCTGCGCCCTTGAAACAAGATGTAGTGACTGTGTTCGGTCACACATGCGCTGTCCTGCAGTGGCCTAATTTATGTGACGTCGATATAAGTTAGAATTTCGATCGATTATGGAAAATGATATGGTCTGCTTGCTGCACCACCGTGGAATCAGCTGAGGAACTATCCGATGTTTTACTCACATTTTTTTGTGCATGTTGCCCTTCGTTTCTTACATTGTTCCTGTTTCCTTGGTTTTGTGGTGTTTGATAACGTACAATTTTATTGTATTACCTCCCTGTTTCACTCATGTAATTTTTTTTATTATGCAAGGTTTAATCGATTTGCAAATTCATTGCTTTTAATGTAATTGTCATTGGAATTTGGCCCTCTAGGCCACGAGACAAATAAAAGAAATTAGATGAAATGAAAACTTAATAGTTCAAGATTTCAGAACTCCAACTCTATAATGTGAACTTGGCCTATCATTGTTGAAACACCACCGCCTCAAATGTCACACATTTTGGTTGGTTTTGACTGGTGATAAGACAAGCGGGACCACCCTGATGCCGGAGATATGCAAGACTCGGATATCGTGGAAATAAAAGAGATCATTCGTGCAGGAATCATACTTCAACAATCTCTGATGCATGTCTACAACAATTTTACTACTAAAGAACTCCAACAAATTGACAATAGGCTCGTGTTGAAAAACACTACACAGTCTAGTAGTTTACATCCACTGTTTTGATATCTGATCAGATATAGTCCGCTAAACCCTATGTAAATTAAAACAAAATAGTACGTGATGATATAAGTAGCGGTATCATGGTCACGACCACTGATTAGTTGACTTTACCGTCTGATAATAGTTTCTCGGGTTCATGTAGAGGTCATCTTCCCAAAAACAAAAATAAAGGTGAAACGGCGTTTCTGTGGCGGCGTGTGGAAAATGTCGGTTAAAAAAACCCAAAGGACAAACTAGCGGCCCCAACAACGAGACAACGATGAACCCGGTGTTTTTTTTTCAGTCTACCACTTTTTTTCTTTCTACCGAGTTCCCTAGAAAATGTCTTAATTCATTAATCAGTAATTTTCAGTTCCATGGAAACTAAATGAAACGCGTACAAAAAAGAGGACAGTCGCAAAAGAGCGCCCCCACCGACGAGACAGCGCCGACCTTCGTGATGCTATTCGTCCACCACTATTTCCCCATCTTCCAAAACCACTTCTTGGCCGTCTTCCAACTCCATTTCTTGGCCGTCTTCCAAATCAACTTCTTGGCCGTCTTCAAGATCATCATCACCGTCTTCTCCTTCTTCTTCTTCGTCTTCTTCTTCTTCCTCTTCATCAGCCCCGTCCGGGTCGGCCGCGTACCCCTTGGATTCGTGCAGGACATCGTCGGTTGTGCCCTCCGTGTAGACCGGCGAAGTGTACTTGGCTTCAGGGTTCTCCACGTCGTACCCGTAGTCTTCGGCGTAGTGATCCTTAGCATCCGTCTTACAGGCTCCTGTTTTCCCCCAAGAAAATAAGAAAAATGAGGATGAAATTTGATTATTTCGAGTAAGCACACTTTTGTTCAAATCTTACTCCAAATTATTTTATGTTCCAAAATTTGAGTTTACACGGGTACTTTCTTTCTAAACACGGGTACGGAAAAATGTCATTGGTTGGATGTGTTCGTCTATCGAACATTTGGAATAATTTGAAGTCTGTATTTCGGCACATCTAAACTGACCTCTACTTTAATTTATGCAAGTATTTAGATTAACATATGAAGAAGATAGTGTCTGTTCCAATCAACACCATTTACAAAAAAAGGAAATTAAAAGAATTAACTTTAAAGCCAAAAGTTATGTGGTGTGCCAAGCATTCAGGAGTTGGGCAAAGGAACTCTACTCAGTGACCCCATTAACGACTTCAAATCTACGACCGGCTCTCGGATTTCCCGGCCAACCACACCTCCTTCCCTGTCCATCCATATATAGGGCCAAACACCATTAAAGGGAGGAAGCGATGCGGCACCCAAAACCTAATTGGCTGTCGAGATCAGCCGAACGATCGAGCTCCGTACCTTCACGAAGATGCTAACCTGAACTTCGCGGACTATCTTAACTGTTGTGCTAAATGATGAAGTTGTAAGTTGGCTTTTTTAAGAGAGAGGATAGAAACGCATGGTCTTGATAAAAAAGAGAATGACAGTGTTGTTTTTTGTTGGCTTTGGTGGATGTTTCATGAAAAGATTGAATTGTGGAATTTTGTTGAAAGGTTTTTCTTTTAGATTTGGTGGCGAAACTGTTTGAAGATGTTTGAAACGTAGTGTTGTACTTGGTTGTTAATAAAGTACGGCTGTTGTCGGTGGGAATGAAGTTACAATTGAAGGACGTCTTCAAACAGACAGGAATGAAACAGTCATCGGATTGGAGAATGTAAAAAACCTACCATCCACACAATCTTCGGATGCTTCCATATCCTCGTCGTGAGGCTTGCCCTTGCAGGGGCACCGCCCGTCGCACACTTTGAAGATGGGTCGGCTGGGGTCATTGCAGGCGCTCTTGCACAGGAAACAGTCGTTCATGTGGCTCATGCCATCATTGGAACAGACCATTTTGACGGTGGGAGGACACTGGAACATGCAGGGATTTGTGTCGATCAAACCCTCGATATCTGAAGAAAAAAGATTTGCAAGCACATTATTTTGATAAATCTACAATCGGATGAAAAGCACAAGTAGCGCAGTATAACCTGGCCAATAACAACAAAGACCTTGAATACAAGGGAAGTACAATTTTGATTGAGTATTCTGATTTTGTAGTACTTAAGATTCCTCTCCCTCACTTTCGATGATTGATTTGAGACGAGCTGAGAGAGTAAGTTCTCAATTTTAGAAGAAGTCCCACACTTCTTCGCTTTTTGCGACATTTATGTTTTTGAGATCTCACTTTGTATATAGCCAGTGACAGGTGGTCAATTCTGTGTTCGCACGACCTTAATGTGCGTACATCGTGGCAAGTGACCTACCCACAATGCTTTTGGACGCCTGCGTTTCTCTTGCATTTTGTGTGTGCGTGTGAAAGAGCGCCCTCGGACAGGTTGAACGAGCAAAACTCACACAGTGGAATAACAATGGACTTGCAAAAAAAGGGCGCTGTTCGTGTCTCGTAGTCAGTTATCCCACAGGAAGGACATTGCACTTTGCTGGTTGAGGCACTTTGCTGGTTAGTTTTAAGTATGTGCAAACCCAGGGAATGTGGTTCTTCATGCCTATCTGATTTCCCTTTATGACGAGAGTATTTTGCACTGTAGAATTCCACAAGCCCTACATCCATACACTGTCACAGCTGTTATTAAATAAGGGAAACGAAATACATTTGTTGGCCTACCCGTGGTCTCAACTTCTTCTTTGCATTTCGGGAAGATGGAAGTGATGTCGGCTTCCTCTGCTGCCCTCAATGTTGTGATGACGAAGAGGAGGACAGCCCAGACCATGACCAAATGTCTTGCCGCCCGCAAACACGGCATCTGGTCTTCCATTTCTGCTTCGAAGGCACCGTAGAATTCACGTCTGAAACCCCTGGTGGGTAGTTAAAGTAGATTTAAGACCAATGTTAATTTAAACATGTGTATTAAGTAAAGTCTGAAACGAGCCAATATGACCCATTAGGCATGAAACGACTCAGAATATGTCCATTCCTCCTGGATGGGATGCCAGTCCAAAGCAGGTTACTCCCCAGCTAATACGGTTGCTCCTGGGTGGCGAGAAACAAGTGGAGTGAAAGCCTTGCCCTGCAAGGACTCAACATAATATACGGACCGTACTTGGCAACACCCCCACTCAAACAATTTTATTATACATTCATAAATACCTCAGACAGTTTAGCCATTCGTAATGGTCGAGAGCCCGTCACGCGGTCGGTCTTAAACGGATGATAAAGACATGGCTAGCTGGTCTTAAACACTTTCCCATCCAGTCTCACAATAAAATGTGGACTCCTAAAAATCCAGTGCCTCTTACCGTTTTATTGGTTGAAAGTTCACAGTCCTCACGTAGGCATGCGCAACTCTGTACCACCAGTGAGTCAGAATTTTATAGATCTAAATTCAAAACGCCCAAGGTGCGTTCTGCGCGACATCGCACAGAACGTGCCACGCGCGCGTAAATCTCCATAAAAGGGTTGTTTACATCTTAATCGCCAGCTGAGCACTCCAGTATTTAGCTAGAGTAGACTTGACTCAAGTCGGAATTGCTTTAAGTCGGTATCTAAAAAAAAGTAGCAAGAATCACTTAGTTTACGTCTTTCCAGATGCCCGACAAGGTACACTTCAGCGCACCTTCCACTTCAGTGCCGTATAACAATTCGCACTCACTGTACGTACAACACGCGTATTACACGCACATGTGTGTGCATGTATTGCAGAGCATGTGCATACATGTGGTGCAAAAGTTGCTGCATCACTTGAAAATAACATGTACATGTACGTTTTTAACATGATGGTCCGGATTCGACGCATGAGGGCGCGCGTTATGTACTGTAAGGACGTATGCGATATGCGCTGTGAGTGGATTTACTATAATATAGGCACAGACCGAGCGCAACCCAGACTTGGCCAGGTCTAAGTTACAGGGATGTTTCAAAAAGCATGAAGTGAACTTGTTGAACAAAATCGGGATTTTTTGACCGAAATATTGGATTTTTTGACCGAAAAGGTATTTATGAATGGGAATAAATATGTGCTCGGTCGGTATTAATCACTCTGTTTAAGACCGCTTAGAGTCTGGGTGCTGATAATTACCCTCGCCTCCGGAGTGATTAAAACCTCTCGAGCACACATTTATTCCCTTACTAACAATATTATGAAATGAATCGCTTCATGTTTGTTTCTGTTTCCCTTCCAGTATTGACCTGGATTGCTTTTACATTCAAAATCTGCATAAACAGTATTTTGTTATAAATTTGTATATAGATATCAAGTCTTCAGAATTCTTCCAATTTTGAATTAGGGGGTTAGGGGCGGAGGGGGGGGGGCGGAGGAGAAATTCAAAAAGACTTTAGGCGGTGAACAAGATCTACCATTGACGGCAGCTGCCGATACAATTTTGCTACAGGGAAAAAGGAATTTCTGTTTTGAGTTCACCCGCCGGCCAGCCCATGCCAGATTATTTTGGTGGTCGAGCTGTTTCGACGTTCGCACTATAGTGAGCCAGAGGTCGTGGGTTCTAGTCCACCCGAATTTCGAATTTTTCAATATTCATAACATATTATGAAGAGCTTAAATCAAAGCCTCAAGCTGGATCTACATAATGCATGTGTATTTATCGGATGAATGTCGCAGTCAAAGTGTCTCTCTTTGAGCGGACATTCTCGTAAAAGCATAGAACTGAATTTACCCATTGCACATTGCTAACGAATGTGCAGTGACTACCCATCACATTAATTAAACACATGCTAATCTGCAATTGACCTATCGCGGTATAAATCGCGTCAGAATCGCGTCAACGCAGCTTGTGAAATATTTTTCAATCACATGCACAGATATAGAATATTTGTTATTTTTTGAACCCTTTTTTTCTCAATTGAGAGTTTTCTAACAGGCAAGTGAAAAAATGGACAGAATGGAACAAGCACAACTACGAGAGAGGCCCATGATACACCGAATGAACAATTATTTCATTTCCATTTTATTAACGTACTTACGCAAAATGTCAGTTTTGCCAAAACAGACTCAATTTTGCAGAGCAGGTCACACATTTCTTTCTAGGTATTTACAGTACCGATCAGCTTAATAATTTCACTGTTCACTTACCTTCAAAAACGACGAAGCCCGTTAGAACCAAGTACACCCTTTCAGTAGTAGATAGCAGTCACTCCGAAAAAGAAGACACAAAATTGGGCTGTATGCTTTCGTCCGACCGTAGGGGATTTGATGTTGTTTCAACCGAATATTAACCCCTCCGTGTGATTGCTCATTTGTTAGACTCAGCAGTCTGACAAATCTTTTGATTTTCAGCCACGTGTCTGGATATAAACGAATGCTTACGTGTATGGTTATCATAGGGCGACCCAACAAATCAATAAATCTGACCCCATCAGCTGGAGTTGATTAAATCATATGCCAAAATTAATAGGTGCGAGCGCCAAAATATATATATTTTGGGGGGTGGGAAGAGAAGTGTACTGCGGACAGCGAAGACCCTTTAGTCATAGTCAAAGATTTTAAAGACTGTTTCTTTTAAATTTAACGACCCAACTTGCGTTTTTTTTATTTGAAACCTATTTTGGTTTACGCGGTAAACGTTTTAAAATATATATATATATGCGAGGTTGTCACTTTAAATTCAGATTCATTCAGTTTGCGAAAGACAAAATCGATGAGACGAAATCATGGAGGAGGGATACTGGATATGTGGTCGTCTGTGATTGGTTGGTTTTGTGTGGAACAGCTGTTTCGCACTGATTGCCAATACCAAGTATATGAACCAACAACAGGTGTAATCATTCCCACAGTGTATAATTAGTCATTGCTGAGTACAATCCGTATAATATGCTTCTACACATGGATTCTGTAACTATTCAAGGATATAACAGAAACATTGGTGTGTGGGCATCTTTGCAAATTTAATGTGTGCACAACACCAGTATACAAGGAATATTGTTTTTTCTTCCGTTGAGTGTAACAATAAATTTTGCTTTGGTTTTCCATTTTGTTTCCAACATTGCGATGTTCATGAACTGACCTTTTTTTTTTTTTTTTTTTTACTGTGGATCCAATAGTGTTTAGCGTGATAGGTTCATTAAAATAAACAAGTGAAAAGTAAAGAACTCTCTTTAGAAATAAAAAAAGGATTGAACGAAGACTCCCACATTCAATCTTGCAGTGGTTTATTCCCTTTTTAATTCATTAAGGAAAAACTGAAATCATAAACACTGATTAAAAAAAAAGTGTTTACTGAACATAAAAATTCAATTCCAAAATGATCCACACAGTGGACACGCCCCCTTTTCCCCCTCCACTATAAAACGGGCATTCACAGAATAACACATTTCCTCGTGCATTCTCTTTTCTGCCATTACCGATTTAGATTTTTAAATTTTACCATTAAGATGTTATTGAAGTTAGCAACTTCTTAATATTTGGCCGAGGATGTTGCGCTACAATTAATATTTTAGATTGTTTTGGTGATTCTAAAAATATGCAGAAAAAAGATGTCTGCTGATATTTTCTCATTATATACAACTCAATTAATATTTACAATTTTGCCCCATTATCAACTCTGTATTCATAAATTTAGGGAAGGTGAACTTTTTTTCTGAGGTTTGCCATGGCAGGGAGTCACAGCTCTTTAAATTTACAATAACAAAGGCTGGGACACTGTAGTGTTGATGCTCTTCCTGCACTGAAATCAAGACATGTTTCACTTGAATTGATAATAGCCCTCCGTTGTTAAACCTTCTATTTCCATGAAGGTTGATCAGCAGTCGTTAAGGACACGCTCCTGAAAAGAGAAAGAAAAAACAAAGAAATATATCAACCAACAAAATATATAACATATATTTAGTTTTTTACAAATTTGACCCAAATGTCACTGGGGGAGGGTTAATATTGTTGTGGGTTTTACTTGTCCTCTTTTTTTGTTGGTCGTAATTTTTATGGTGAAATAATGAACCCATTTGAAAAATAAAAATTGTATTGAACCTGTCGAAATTTTCCTCATCAATGAAAAATGCACTTGAGTGGTCAATAATTTTGCTGCGTTACAATGTTCTAACTACTGACATTGTGAAATTTTGCTGGTTAATTTATACGTATCTACATTTGAAACTTTTGGATTGGTTCTAACTCGAAACTCTCATGTAAAACCTGAACTATTGATAACACGATCTTCATAGGCGTAGCATGGTCATTTGCATGGGGGGGGGGGCATTCCTTGAAAGGGGCATTCGCACATCCGAGCTGCAGTGTAGACAGGTTTTTTTCTCCGGACACTTGGCCTCCGTAATATCAAACGGGAATGGGGGTGGGAGGTGTTATGTGTGTGTGTGGGGGGGGGGGGAGGGGGAGGGAATGGGGGATTTGGCGTGGGGGCTGGTAACATTTTCCAATGGGGTCGCTGTTCGAACCGGACGATTATGCAAACTTTATCTGATAATGGTTAGTTAAACAAAGGCACTAATTTGTTGGCAAAATGGCTCTGTTTAAAAAAATGGTACTTGTTTAAAAAAGGCACGCTTACTCCCATGGGGGACGGGGAGGGTAAACACTTGCGAAAAGGGCACCGTGAATGGAAAAGGGAAGTCTTTGCAAAATGGTGGGTTTTTTTTGGCCTATGATCTTTCGTGCTTACCTTTCCCAAAACAAAATCCACCGGGAACGATGCCGGGCCCAGGCGTGGGTTCCAACACCGGCACGGGGCTCGGGGCAGCCCCGTCCCCGTCCACGCGCCGTCCGCACGGGCAGAATCCGTCGCAGGCCTTGTGCAGGGCCTTGTGACTACACGCCGCCTTGCACAGCAGGCAGTCGTTCAGGTATTCCTCCCCGTCGCTACCGCAGACTGGACGGTAGCGCTGGGAACAGAGGATCGCTGAACAGTCCTCCCCCATGCTCGGAACGGCTGCAAGGAAACAAACATTATTTCCAAACATACGAGGCTTAGGTTTACATGTTCACTAGAACAACTAAAAAAGTTGCCATAATTGGCGCTTTAGGGTTTTCATCAATATAATCCCTGCTAAATGCGTCCTCCTGCATGCACTGGGTATCCAGCTTATTGTTACATGTTTCGTCGCAAACGGCCAAATTAAAATCAAGTATTAGCCCGCTATACTGACATGCTCCCGTTTACTCTTGGTTGTGTTTTATAGCTCCATGGTAGGATCAGGAGAGAAGCAATGAGTTTAAATTAGCTTGCCTAATACCAGTCCGCTCTGATGAATAATTTACAATTTCTGACTAAATATAACCTAATGCTTCAATCCACATCATTAGGTTATATTTAGGTTATATTAGGTTATAATTTAAAAAAAATTACAGTGAGGCCTGGAACGCCTCCAACCATGAAATAGTATGGCACCATCCCATTCAATAGTGTACCATTAATAATAACAACACAGGGAACACGATCGAAAATCGCGAATAAGACTTTCTCTAGCTTACCTTTGACGGAGTTTCTACATCCGGGGTAATAGTACTGATCGCCCATCACTGCCACACCGCACAAGACTGGGAACAGCACAAGGAGGAGGAAGCTCGCCATGATGAGTTGCACCGAGGAACTACGGAGGTGGTATCTCTGCAAAAGAAAAAATGATGAACAAAAAGGAGATAAAAAAAAAGAAATATTCCCACAAGGTTGCAGACCAGTAAATAAACGTCCATAGACCCCAATGGTAAAATGCTCACACTTCAGAAATTCGGGGAAAATACTCACAACTCTCAAGGGTGTTCGAGACACACATCAAATTAAAGCTTATTTCATCATCTTTCATTTTCTTTTCAATTTTTGGGGGTCAACTAATGACTTTTAGAAGAAATTTCCATCCGAAGATGATCGCCCCTGAAAATAGTCCTGAAGCCCATCGCCGTGTTGAAAAACGATGCCCACACTCCATTGCAAAATAGAGCGCTTTAAGGGCCCAAATTTCATCCAAATTGAACGGAACTACAAGCTCACAGTCCTGTGCACGGCTTCCACCCATATTTTTTTTTTACAAACCCTCAAGTTCATGGCTCACACCATGCTCGAATACTGAAGATTTTGAGGGCATGCAAATCGTAATTTGGCCGGCGCAGGCAATTTCGGACCGATTTACTGGTCTGCAACCACAAGGTATTTAGTACACGTACCAGTCCTATCTCCACTTTGAACGAGGCTGTTCTTGTTTAAAATAGCCAAAAGTACGTTTCTTTGTAATTGCAAAATGTCCTACGCGCCTTTAACTAAAAGTGAACGGGCCAGCGCTACGCAGCAGAACCTGTTTGTTCGACTTGAAATGAATTATACTTACTCTTAATATATTCCACAAAAACTAATTGTAATTAAGAGTGACCCTGGCGGCCGCTCCGGAAACGTGCAGTGTTTCTCAAAATATAATTATGGGGTTTGCAACAGAATGAAATACGGCAAAAGTTGTGTTTTGCATTGCAACATTTTGTGAATGGTATATTTGAAATTTTTAACAATATAAAACAAAGTGGTCACTCACCAATCGGAGAACGGAGTACTTGTCCATGAAAACACCTTTTACTCTAGAATTATGAAAGGATGTTCTTTCACATACGGCATCTCGTTGTACACTTCATGATGAATTTCATTTTTTTTTTTTGGCGGGGGGTATGAAAAAACAGAGCGGTGTTGACAAATAGGAGAGTACCCAAAATTTATTCCGCACGAGTTTTGTAACATGCGACCTGCATGAGTATGATGTACGAATAGAAACATACAATACGGGGCTTATTTTCGTCTGTCTGAATCATGCAAGTCGTGCATTGTTTTGCTGGACAATGGCTGGACCAAAATTATTGATTAAAATATTGTGAAACAGATATATAGCCTACTGTGTTCCATTGTGTTCTATCGATCGCCCAATCGATTTGGGTTGCTGCATATCGTTATCAAAATACTGTGCCTTATAATAATAATAAAGTAGGGTCAATAGTAGCCTAATTGTGGAATTATAATAAAGTAGGGTCAATAGTAGCCTTTAGTCAAGGCGCGCGTGTCTACCCGGACGCATGGCGCCCCAGATTCTGGCACGAAAAAAGACCAGTCGAGTGGCAAACTCGCGGCTTTGCCGCTCGCGCTAGTCTTTTTACGTGCCAGCATCCGGGGTGCGTCACGTGTCTGAATAAGCGCGTGGGACTTGACTAAAGGCTAGTTCAATAGATGACACCTGACATATTTATACGTTTACGTAATGTTTATATGTGGCAGTAAACAGTACATGTACTTATGATTTGCTTGAAATCATGATGACTGTGATTCAAAGAGGCGGCGGTTGTCATGAATAGCGCCACCATGCACCGCAAACTTTACATTTGACCGATAGCCGGAGAACTTTTTCTTCGTTGAATCATTCCAATTAGTGGTAAGTATCCGGATGAGCTCTTTTGCCTTTAATGAACTGGACTTGGGGTTGGAAAATCTTGTTTTGAGTTTCCGGATTGAAACTCGATTGTGAGAAAGCCAGATATGGGCCTTTAATAGGAACAAGTTGGCCAGTTTTGTTGTTCCTGAATGTATTTCATAAATTGTGAACTCTGTTGAATAGGATGGTGCGAGACTATTTATTCACGTCACTATAGCCTCAATTTCCTTTTTTCCTTCAAAATGTGGCTTAAATAATTATAAGAGCATGTTTAATCACAACGTTTATATTATTCTTCAGCGCAGACAGGTATTAATTTGTAACGTCATTGCTTTTATTTTTCGATCTACACACATTCCAAACCTGAAGATTTTTCCTCACTCTCAATCCAATATGGCCGACTCGTGAATAAGGCCCTGCAATACGTGTGCCGCATACAGTACCGTTGTCCGCGTATTGTTATTTTTTTTACCGTATTTTAATTGCACTACCTACCGCGTAGTCGCGGCCTACTTATTTGAGCACATATGCCTGAGAAGCGACCGTAAGATATTGACACTGGAACATCAAGGTCAAAGACAGACGCGCAGTGTGAGTGCCTTTCGTCATTGTTTGGATAAGACACGTTACAATAGATGCCTTCGAATCGATTTACCTAATAATAGTCTCTGCTGCCGAGCGCCAAGGGCGGGAGAAATTTCTCAGGCATTGTATAGAGTGCCAAAGTGTGACGTCAGCTGTTATTGTGCATATTTCACTCTGTTCCCGTGCTGAGTATTCACACACTATTAAGCGGTGCATGTGGAACAGAATACGCAGCCGATGCCCACTTTTCAGTATTCTATTTATGAGTTCGTTGCAGGTGCACCGTGCTTTCATCATCGTCGAATCATCTGTCAATTAAGCATCTCTCCGTTGGAATCAACAATTACTAATTTTGAAGTAGTCTCGGAATGAAATTCCCAAATTTGCGTCTAACAATAATTTCAGACTGAGGTTTCGTTTTCTGCTTCGAATTACAGGAATGCATCGAACCCGGGGCCATCATTGCAACGCCAACGGAAAGTATAACAGGTATGTGGCTTTAACAATATATGTTGGTTTCCCTGATATTTTGTTTTCAACGCAGATATTATTTTGTATCGATCCTATTAAAATGAAGAATTTGCTACAATGGGGGAAGATCCGTCTTCCATAGCCTATGCAGCCGGTTCAAAGACTGTGTGCGCACGGAAACCAATTTTATGTTATTCAGTGCTGTACGTAGTCTAAATGTTTCATTATAGATTTGATATTTTAAAGCGTAACAGTTAAAAGGACATAACGGCTTGGAATGCGCCCTAATGGGGAGAAATGCGTTTAAACGATTGTAATTACATTGACTGTATTAATGGTTATTCCAAAGTAGGCTATAAACATCCCTACATAACAGCCAGCCTTTAAAAACTGGGCGGTCTTTGTTATTCTTGTGTAAACCATGCGAGAACGAGTTTTCGGGGGTCAGATTTTGATTCCGAAAAATCGAGCTAGCGGTGCTAGTTGTCACGGTGATCCAGCTGTACGGACGACAAGACAGATGAGACGCGGGGTTCGCATTCCACGGACGTGTATTTGTTTATTAATTGGTTTGCTTACAATTGGGGACCCCCATTGTCCCTCTTTTGTACACTATTTAGGAAAACCAGTACACCATCGCAAAATTGGGGACCTTTGCGAATTGGGGACCCGATTGTTCAACGTCCCATATCGAATGCAGAAACAACCGCAAACTCACATAATCGTGTAAAGTACATTGAATTAAAACGACTTGGAAAACATACGTTTGTGCCACAAAAAAAATGTTCGCCGCACCGACGTGAACAACCGTTTTCCCCCGTCTACTTTCGTGAGTGGTAGGATATAAATAGGTTAGTTTGCTTTTAACCATACTTTTGGAAATATAAGTAAACAATCTAGAACATGATATTTTCGGGAATTCTTTTGATTCCACCCTCTCATGGAATACAATGCGATGCCAAACAAAAATGATTGAACCATAATGTAATAGGATCGTGCTTGTCCCTCCTCCAATAGGAAGATCCAGGGTCGTTCGAAATTAGGGTGGAGACATCGAAAAGGGAGATAAGACAGCGAACAAGTCCGTCTTCTATTACAGGGAGAAAAATTAATGTCGCACGCCATTTTGTTCATACAATGATGCTCTCTGATTGCATTGAATGATTAGACCAAAAAAAAAATAAGTCGGTCTCTGGTCAGCGCGCGCGTCGATTTTAATCATGCGCGTCAATCTTTTTTTCCCAAAATGTTCCGCGGTAGCTCCAACAGCGCCCTCTATTGCCGCACCTCCTTAATTTTTTTTTTACCAAAGAGCACCAAGGAATGGGAAATTGCACAAAGGCAAATGATCGAGAGCACCAAGGCAAATTATGGAGGACACCAATGTACATGAGGACACCAAATAGCAAAATAGTACCCCACCTTGTCTGTAAAAACCAAGCTTGAAGGAAAAAAAAAAAAGCCCCCCCCCCAAAAAAAAAAGCCGCGTCCCCGCGTCAATTCCGGAACTTTGGTCTGACCAGAGACCGAATATATAAATTTTTTTGCCTTATGGAATGTAAATACTCGCACGCACAAATCTACAATCCCTTTGGATCAGTCCTTGTCTTCCACAAAAATGGGAGTGGTTACCAGTGGTTTCTTCTCTTTAGCCAACATTTGATCCGGGTATTAACCACATCCAGCACAACTTTCACTGATATTCATCCATGCATGCAAAGGATATACAGGCCTTTCCTTTAAGGCTTCCCCAAAACACCACCAACACAATGTTTTAAAAAGATATTTTAAATGGACTTTAACGATGCTTAATGGCGTAAACGAGAACATGCAGAAGAGGCGCCAAGATCTCCAGATCGTTTCTTCAATTTACTTTGTTTTCTTTGGGAGTACCTCAAGGACCGGGTATACACCATAGTGGCCAAACAGCCTCCATGAACTTCGCCAACAAATTACTTTTGAAATCAGAGCCCTCAGAACACGGATGGTCTGTAGAGCTATTGCACACATCAGGACACGGGTACATTGTGCATTGATCCAAACGACTGACAGGTGGCATTGGCACATTATGCATTGATTTAAATGACAGACAAATGGAAGGTCGAGCAGTAGGACAGTGAAAATGTTAACCTTATCTGCAATAGACCGCTTGCAGACGCGTTCGATAATTGACGTGCTAAGGTGAGCGACGCCATGTTATGGGACAAAATGTGCGTGGATAGATATACGCCTGTCCCACAACATGGCGTCGCGCGCCTTCGCGCGTCGATTATCGAACGCGTCTGCAAGCGGTCTATTCACATGCAAGCAATACCATGTTATTCCATAGAATTGTTGCCCGTTCTATTATTCCATTTATTTCTTCCATTATCCCTAGGCCCATTGTTGCCATTGGGCACATGGCAAAAGGCCCATTATGAACTTCGTGTTTTGGGGTTGTTGTTGTTGTCGGCTTGTCTCGGGAGACATGGAGTTCTGCGCCATGATTAAGCCTCTTGTGGAGTTGCAGCACCTGCTGTGGCTGGTTCTGTTGCAGCTGCTGCAAGTGAAATCCGCACCGGGGTCTGTAGGTTCTAATGCCGCCCTCTGCCGTCTTCGCTTTCTCCACTCTTCTGCTCGCTTCTCTGAATTCCTTCTTTGTCAACCCCATCCAGTTGCTGCGATCTGCAGCTACAGCCTGTTGGGTTGATGTCACCCGCCTCCATGTCCTGTCTGGAGACAGGCGTAAAGACGGGTCTTCCTGCAGGTCTGGAGCCCGTAGCGAGTTCGACGTACAACATTTCCTTGGAGATTCGGCCATCCTCCACGTGACTGATGGCAGAGCCAGCAGAAGCGTCGCTGGGCGAGCAAGGCAAGCCAAACAGGTTTGGGATGCCTGCCTGTCCAAGGACATCCTTGGTTGGGACGTGATCTTGCCAATGGATGCCCAGCATTCTCCGGAGTCAGCGGAGATGAAGTTGTTTAGTCTGCACCCCAGAGGGTCCATGTTTCGCTGCCGCAAAGTAGCGTGCTGGGACCGCTGGCTTGATAGACCTTAGCTGCATCTTTGTGTTGGTGCTCAACATGGCGTTAACACAGACCCTCTTTGCCAGGCGAGCCGATTCGCTTGTTCAGCTCGGCTTTCTGGAAGAAGTTGCTGATGGAGATGGTGGAACCGAGGTAGGTGAAGTCATCTACCACCTGGAGAATGAAATCGCAAGACGCCCTGGCCCATTATGTTGGTCTTCTGGAGGCTGATGGTCGGACCAACTTCTGCTTGCACATGTGGAACAGTTGGTGAGTCTCTGCAGTGCTTCGTCGGTGT